CTTTCATTGACTATACTATATGGGTTATCCTTGGGAGCAAATGATCTAATGACGCAACCAGAGGGGGGGGGGGTCCAAAGAACATGACGTAGGTTTAGATTTAAGAATACTGGTAATGCTTCTCACCTCTTGTTCTGAAACAGGTTTAAAAACATCGAAATGTGAACTAACACAAGTAAAAGAAGACAAATCTAGGGACTGTGCTTCAAGATGATCAGTGCAAATGCCAGCAACTTTGCTTGTAAAGAAATCACTGAAAATATCTGGTTGCTGGGGTAACGGAAACACTGAAGGAAGAGCAGTGCCTTTTTTTACTCCCTCTGAGGATGCGTCAAACAAACAGCCTGCTGGTTTTACCCATAATTATCTTTTGGCTAAAATACAAAGTTTTAGCACGACAAACAATCTGAGTGACACGCTTCTTGGCAGCAGAAAAGATCTGCTTAAAAACCACAAGACTTGACCTCAACCACTTTTTTTACACCGCTCTTTCTTGGCACTGTGTAGTTCTTCCCTTATGGTCGCATTCCAGGGAGCTGACCATGCTGACCTAATATTGCGATGGGTGACAGGCCCTTGACAGGTCAAGCACAGCAGTGCGCAATGCATGGTCTAGAGTTTCCAAAGTAGGGCGGAGGACACTTCTAAACTCAGGTCGTGCTTTTAAATGTATCCCTGGTTATAGTTCAGACTGCGGACCTCGCTGAACTGAGGTAGAGGATTGGGGGCCCTAACATTAAGCTCGCAAACAACTTAGAAGTTGTCAGAGGAAAGCTCTTGAGTGATTGAAGTAGATCTAACTACACCATCCTGAGGCCTATGTGGTACCCAATCAAGAACATGTCCATGCTTATGAGTTGGTTGGTCGACTGATTGCTGAAGACTAAATAAGTCCAAGAGATCCATCATCTTGGCAGTGGAGGGGTGCTGTGGCTGATCAAAGTTAAAGTTCATATCGCCTACTCCCTACAATATAAGTCCTGGCCAATGTGTTGCAGTGATCAATCAAATCCAGGAATTCTCGATGAAACATAGCGTCCGTCAGTTTATTTTTCTTACAAGGGAAGATGTGATAAATGCACATAAAATGAACGTTCTGCTGGGGCACTGACAGGGCCAGTTGAACTGCTTCAAAAAGGATATGTGAGCAAATGGGAGGTCTGTGACAAAAGCTGTATGATGGGACGTGTATCTATAGATAACAGCAAGGCCTCCACAGCGAGTTGAAAGAGGAAATGATCAAGCAGAATAGCCAGATGGAGCGAGATCGGCACACTTCCCCTCATCGCCAGTCAGCCAAAACCAGGTCTCCTGGATAAACTGAATATCAATCTATCAGTGATAAATTCGGAGACTGCGATGCGTTTCTCAAAAAAGCCAAGCGACTGAGCATTGAATGAGGCGATGCGAAGCTGTCTGTTGCTGGAAGGTGGAGAGGTTTTGATGTGAATGAGGTTGGCAGGGTTAGAGTAGTGTAAAGTAGGCCTTGGTGATGTATGAGTGAAAAGTTTTTTTCATCTACCACGGCGGATGCGCTTCCGGGCATGCCTCGACCAATCAAAAGTTCTGTCAGTCCACACACGAGGTCAACAGTCAGATGCGTACACTTGGCAGTCATTGACAATAGACGATCACGTGTATACAAGCACCGGTTGGTTACCTCTGTGAGGCCAGGGTGTGTCACTGATCGTATCGACTTGCCTGATTGATGATCGTGGCGACAACAAAGATGGCCAATTGTGTAGGCAGAAAAGTTCACTGAGCTTTGCCATGAAGAAAATCCAAAATAACATTAGTCTGAGAGACACAAAACATAGCCGAATCTAAGCAGTGGTCCATGGCAGATATCCAATACAGAAATAACCATACAAAAATCAGTCAAACACACACATAATTGCATTCAATCAGGAGCCTCGAGTCTACACATGCCTGCAAGGCGTAGCCTCGTTCTGGATATCTAATTCAGCTATTAATTTTAGAGAAACAGTTATTGCAATATCATTATCTAATGGACCAGTGGCTTGGCTACAATCCATGGAAAATGAGGTTTCAAAGTACTGAAGCTTGGGATAAATATATCAAGGATGTCAGAGGAAATACACAACAGCACAATGCATTAACTTTGTGCCAACAAAAGGCACAAATTTATCATGAGTTAGAAATAAGTTATATTTTCATTTTACAACTTGACGTTCAAAGAATGGAGATTCTTCTTTTATACCTTATCAAATTTAAGAACCAAAAATGAGTGATATTCCTGATAAAATTAGTTAACAAGAATGAAGAAAATGAAGACCCTAACAAAGAAATTATGACTTAGATTTTATTTTAAGAAAAAATAAAAATGCACAAACGCTCAGATTATTCATCTCTCCTCACAAATTTTTAATAACTAAATGTTTTTGTTTGTAATTCCAACTTAATTTAAGTTCTAAATGACAAGCCAACTTTGCATTGTAGTATATTTTACAAAGGTTGACACCTTACTCAGCAATCCAATTTCACCTATTTTGAACATAACATTTTAATGCATTAAGTACTGGTACTTAGATCAACCACTGTCAAAAGTAATCTCATTATGGAAGAAATTATGTTTATTTAAAACCCCAGAAAGTTATTAACAGTTTCAATTTATTCAAAAATGAAATTGTACATAAAATTTTGGTCACTTTAAAGCATTCTGTCAACAAATTGTAATGTGTCTTGGCTTTGAACATGATAAAAATTTGTAAATTCCAGCACAATGTCAATTTCATTTTACTTAACTGAACTTACTTATAACTATTTTCTCCCCCACCCAACTGTCAAACCAACATACACATCTACATACAATACCATCATGGTAATACAAATACTAGATAGTTTTCATAAATGGCAACTAAAGCTGATTTTTAAAAACCAATATTTGTTTTTATTGAAGAATGAAGAGATCAATCAGCAAAATCTTCGTTTATATGTTGGTAAAAAGATAAATAGGGAACAGTGAGCTCAATCATTGTGGTTAATTTCTTTCCAGATAAGGCAATCAACAATTTAAATTTATTTTCCAAGGGAATGTAACAATGTAGCCAATACTATCTGCTGTAAACTGTAAGATAAACTTGTTAAAATTTTTAATCCGTAATGAATCCCTGTTTTTTTTTTTTTTTTTTTTTTTATGTTACAAAGAAAAAATTAAGTTTTTTTTTACCATATTAAAAAAATTTGTTTTTTTTTGAAACTTTAAAAATGTGAAAAGAAAAAAAGTCTAATTTTAGTCATGAATAACAGCATTAAATAGTACACACAATATATATATATTTATAAATATATATATAAATATCTTTATCGTAAGCCTGTCCATGGATGATTTCTTCATCCATCAACTGCATATATCTAAAGATTTATTTTATACCTTAAAAATGGTTTATTATTTTTTAAAATTTTCAAAGAATTATAAATTACTAGTTACAAGTCAAAATGCCAGATTGTAATTTTTAGCCCAGGTGCACGACATATTACATTATATGAGCCTACAGTCAAAATCCTTGTAAAAGATCACATAAGATTTTTGACGGATTGACAGTGGCACAGTGAAATGACTAATAATTTTGGCAGTACTTTTAGTTGATGTAGACTCTCACAAGCTAACTATTATATCCTGAACGGGCCTGGAAGATATCCACTTTAGCAGATTGTAATTTCCCAGGCTCATGCTTCACTGTATCACAACATAATGAACATTGTCATTCACAAATACACAAGTGATGCATTCATTTTTTTAAAAATAGTTTAAATAACATGAGAGATGAACGCAAGAGGGGCAAAAACAAAATTTCAAAATGTCATTTAGCAATTCTGTCTTTACCACAACTGCCTTTTAAAATTTTTACAAAATTATTGTGTGCAAAATAAGAAATAAAATACAAACACTCCATAGCATTTTGCACAGACTGCACTCTGCATCTATCAGTCAACATTCAAATCCCCCCTCCCTAAAGATGAAATGGCAGGATGATGTGGGCAGATGAGGGTTTCCAAATGCTAATCGAAAGCGTGAAATATGCAATATGATATGGAGAAAAGTGTGTGCGTCTTACCTCTCTTCCCATTTCTTAGCTAGTCTGAGAAGAGGTCAAAACAACTGCAGTTACAAATTGAATGAAGACATACAGTAAATCAGACCAGTTTAACATTGGTTAGTGTCAACAGTCAGTTGGGTCACAAGTATTATGCATTCATCTAAAAAACTATTTTCAGTTACAACTCTTCAAAATAATCCAAATTTAAGATTTCATCTCATACTGTAAGATAGAGAACACCAGAAAAAACTACTACTCCATACCTTGTTGGCCACTCTTAATGTTAAACTCATCCAATACATACTGATCTGGCCACACAAAAAGCTCCAAACAGTAACCAATTGAGACCGATCTCCCACCCAGTGATTTATGCATCAGTTGGAAAGTGTTTTTAAGGAATTGGTTACTTTGGAGCATGCTTATTGTCACGATAATATGTTGGAAATTAATAGGTTCATTCATTCAACACCAAATAAACAAAAAAATATATTTTATAAATAATATAAAACATGAACAGAATTATTTCGGCTCTAACTTGAAAGTTTTGTTAGATGAGAAGAATAAAACATGTTACTTGCATTCATAAAACTAAAACAATTTTTTTTAAATTGTAATATACAATAGGCCAAAAGTTGTCTCACGAATTAGGTAAAAAAATAGAAAACTAACGTGCAATATATATTTTAAGTATTTCAGACAGTTATATGATAACCGGTTTATGGAAAAGCAAATCCTGGAGAGGAAATAAACACAAAAGCAGCAAAAGAATAGCCAAAAAAAAAAAAAAAAAAAAAAAAAAACCAAAAAAAAAAAAAAAAAAAAAAAAAAAAAAAAAGGAAAAAGGGCCAAAAAAAAAAAAAAAAAAAAAAAAAAACAAAAAAAAAAAAAAAAAAAAAAAAAAAAAAAAAAAAAAAAAAAAAAAAAAAAAAAAAAAAAAAAATACCTACTAAATAAAGCAAAAAGAATGAAATCACAATGAGAAATCTGTCTGATATTTACAAGATTTAAAAAAAACTTGGATGAGGAAAGCAAATGATATTTGACAGCATCCAATACAAAGAATGAAAATGTCAATGAACTGACCAGCACAGAGCCAGCTGTGATGACACTCTTCTGACTACCTCAATTAAGTCAACACTGCTGAATAGCCAGCATCTCAAACTATTAACATCTTCATAAAAAAAAAATTCATTCCCCTTCTAATTTGCATAAAAAATTTGAATTTGGTATAGACGCACACACAATGAAAGCAGGTTCATTTTTTAGTTTTGGTTGTTATGCAGGTAAGAAATCAAACTTTTGTCAGCGCCGCCCCTGTTGAGACATTCCTCCGCGAGGACCTAAATTGGGGGAGCTTCGCACATCTTGACGATTATTGAATCCACTGCTGCCCTTCATACCACCACGTCCTCCCGGACCACCACGATCTCCATAAGGTGGACCTCCTGTACGGCTTCCACCCATGCCTTGACCACCCATTCCACCTCTTGACATTCCTCCTCTACCACCACTGCGCATGCCCTCAGTACTTCTGGGTTTCTTCTCTTCAACATTTAAGCGATGCTCACCCTTGTATTTAATGGGTTGGTTAGCCTGAAAGAAGTAACAACATTGTTAAAAAAATTAGAATGATGCATGTCCACTAGGAGATTGATCATCTTAAAATAATCACAACAAACTATTTTTTAAAACTTGCAGTATTTCACACAAGCATTTTTTAAAAATTGTCATGAATAACTTCAATTTAAAGTGAAACTTGTAGCTCAGTAAATATAATCATCATTTAGACATCGGACGCAACTTACAAACATCATAGCTACATTATAATTACTCAAAGACAATTTTTGTTAAGATGTCATTTAACTTAAAAACAGTATAAATACCTTTACTTTCAGAATCTCTTGTACAATTTCTGCATTTTCAAAAACAACAAATCCAAAGTTCTGGAGAAAGAAAACCAAAGTATTGTATTAAAAGTATTAGCTTGTCTAAAGGAAATGATTAAAAGATAGTCCAAAAACAAATCAAAAGCTAGTCAAAAAGGAAGATTTTTTCTAAAAACATTTTAATCCAAAACTTCATTAATATTAAGTTAATATATTGATGTAAATCTAAAATGCACTGAAAAATTGTAGCTCAGTAATATATTAGCGTCATATATTTACTTTCAGTCGCAACTTACAGACATCATAGCTACAATTTTACAATCTAATGCACACCCCCTTTTAACACCATTTCCACATGACGGTTCACCAATTTTTATCTTTACAATTTAATTAATATATTTAAATAAAATATTCATTTCACAGGTTTTTGGTGTACAAGTACAGAAATTTGTCATTAAATCAGCATAGGGAAATGTCTCTAGCCGCATACAGACATGCAAATAAAGGCAGCAAACTTCAAACAGCTTATCTTTTAGGTTTATCTACTTTGTCATACAATTTTCACTATCAGTACTGAATTGCAGCCATCTAAACCAATTTTTTAATAAAAATGTATGATGTTGAAAATTCTCAATGTCGGGTTTGAAATTATATATATATATAATATGAATGGTTTTTTTAAGGTGCTGGAAATTATAAATAAAGATTAACATGTTCTACAATACTGTGTAACATTTGATAAGATATCTTGCTTTGTCAATTATCAATTTTAAAAAATCTATGAAATTCTTAGTTTTTGTGTACAAGCCTTGTTGAAATAATTTCTGCAAATTATTTTGTTGTTTTCACCTTTGCGTGATGATTTCACATTGTTATGCTTTAAATAACCTTTTACTTGTCTCCTGTATATTTAGAATAGCTTTATTAATTGATTTTTTTAATGATTTTTTTGAAAACTAACTATTGATATTTTGTAAAATTGAGCTTCAGCTCGTTTTTGGATAAATAAAAATTGTATTTACATTTTTAATGACAACCCTGAAAAAAATTGAGTTTGTTATATGTATAACTGGTAGTGAGTGCAAGAGATCTGAAAGTTCCAACTTATTTATTTCAGAAGAGAGCGGGTGTCAAAACTACACTTTCCTGGCGTCTAAAAATTAACCATATTCCTGATATTTTAAAAATGTATAACTTTCTAAATACTGGAGATAGAGAATTAAAATGTGTGGTTCTGCTCTGATGAAGCCAAGCTCTATTTAGAGGAACAGTTCAATTTTATTTAATTTCATAAAATTTTCATTTAGAATACCTAATATAAACCTTTTAACCATATACATTTTTTAAGTAATAGGTGTTTGAAAAAAAAACACGAAAGGGAATTGAAATACTTAGGAAACTAAGAATTGTAAATGCTTTGTTTGGGGTACATAAGTTACATTATTAAGGTCACAAAAAGACAACCCCAAACCACTGTTTATTCAAAGATGTCAGAAGTAGCTCAGAAGTGTCTTGTCATCATATGTCAGACGCAACTTACAAACATCACAGCTCCTTTTGACATTATGCATATTAAAATTGGCTTCATCACCATTCCTTTAAAATGTGCAATTATATTAAAAACCTTAATTAACAGCAATATTGCCAACCAGTCTTTATGGAAGAACAAATTTACATAAAAAAGTTGAATACTTACAGGTACTTTACCACCTCCACTCTTGGTGTTGATTCTCAATTCCTCAACTTTTCCATATTCTGGGAATAAAGATCATTTACAACTGAAATATAATTTAACAAAGCCAAAACAACGAGCATGATACATCAATAACCAATAGTTTTTTTTAAAAAAGTAACAATAACTCCCAATAACTATAAAGTACCGGGTCCTTCAAACTAGTATAAACAACAGACAGCCGTTGATTTAACCCTGAAATGACAAAATCTCTCTACAAATTTACACATAGCCATTAAAATGTGAGCAAATGGGACTTTTCTGCCAAATTTGTTATATAAAGCAGGTAAATACTTTTCATAATTATAACAGTTCCACTTTTATTATGGTAGTTATCAAAATTCCAGTAAACTTATGTCAAATAAGTTAATTGTTTTTTTTCTGAACCTATTTAGAGTACTGTACATGTCAAGATGCTTCTATTGATTGGTGATAAACAGGTAAAATATATATTAGCCATGGTTAACTCATTCCCTCCGGCAGTGCTACTTCCGTACTTAATTTATTTTCTTGAGAAAAGGGAAGCAAATCAGTTTTGAAATTGATTTACATTTTAAAATTTTTTTTTTTTAAAACTGCTAAATAATAATAAATGTTAATGAATGAAGGACAAATGCATCAAAAAATGAATAAGGTTTAATAAAAAAAAAAAAATATTAGTGGCGAAAAAATAATGCAAAAATAGCCAAAAAATTGATGCTCGGCACCTCGAACAAACACATGCTAGATATAGACAAGCCGTACTAAAGCACACATAGCTTTAAATTTTAAAGTGAAACAAGTGAAATTTCCGGTTTTTAAATTAAAATAGCGCAATAGCCGGAAGTCTCAAGTTGCGCGATTTCATTGCTATTTTTAACAGGACGCATCAGGAGAAATCCCAAAAGGACGCATTTAGTCGCAACCGTCAGGAATGAGTTTCACAGATTTATAAACCACACAACTTCAAATAAACTACTAAGCAATCATAAGTACAGAACTAAGTTTTAATGTGTTCATGAAAAATTTTTAAGGCATTCAAACAGATCCAGGCAAAAATCAGGATATTTAATGCAAATGAAACTGAAAATATGTGAATAGTTAAAGAAAAAATGTGACTTGGCTTCCAGAATAAATTTCCAAACACTGAAAATATCCCTCTACAATCTAGCATTTAAAATACATCAGTAAATAATTTTAATAACCTACGTTCAAAAAACTCTTTCAACTCTGGCTCTGTGATGTTGAGAGGCAAGTTTCCAACAAACAACTGCTGATTATCCGAGTACTTGGATCCACCAAGGCCACCACTACCCCCAACGCTGTTGGAGCGCCTACCATTGACGCTGTCAGCATCACCATCCCCATCTCCTCGACTGACACTACTCCTGTCACGGTCTAAAAACCGTTCCCGTGGTGCCCTAAATTAAACAATTAATTTTTAATACTTTGGGTTTAAATGCAACATTAGCTGTAGAAATCACACAATATACATAGTCAATTAATAAATGGAACAAAAAGTGACAATCACACATGCAAAAAAGAACCTGCTGGCTCAGGTTTTTTTTTAAATACACATAGAGCTTATGGTAGTACAAGAGAGGCTAAAGTAGAAGAGAAACCAATGCTAAGATTGATATCTTTTCCAAAGAGCCACAAATTGCCATAATACAAATTCAGGAAATAATTGAGAAAATACCTTGGGGCTCTTTGAGACTGAGGAGCTTGTGAGGAAGTTCCATCTGCTTTTAGAGGCTCACTGCGTGCTGGGGGTGGCTTGGAGGTATGAACAGGAGGGGGTGGGTATGAGCTCTGAGGAGGGGCAACTCCACCTGGAGTATTCTTGCTTGCCAGGGCAGCCCAGGTAACTGGTTTTGGACCTGAGGCATAAAAAATTAAAGGTAAACTGCAATATGACATAATGCACATTGATAATTTCTTACAGCAAACCAGAAGTGTTTTTTGAAAAATGAAAAAACTGCTTTTTAGTCCCAAACTTTGTTCTTTAGAAGATTTATAATAATGCAATAAGCTGTTTTAGTTTGCCGTGTAAATCTAATTATTGGACATGGTATTTGAGGATTTTAAAAATAAAATGAGTTTCAATAAAAAGGGAAAAAATAGTCTTATTTAAAATTCAAACATATGTTCACTGCACTTTCTGCTAGATATTTTGTTATATCATAACAGTCTGATGAATAATTTCAATACACTTCTTAACTCATGAGATTAAAGGAAGAAGTATTTACAAATGCCACAATAAACCAGAATTGCAGAAAATTTTGATTTGTAGCAATCAATAAGGGGTGAGATTCATCTTGATTTAAACAAAAATTTGAGTTTTGGATGTGAGCACAAAATTAGCCAATTAAACGGATTGCCTCTTAACCCATTAGCAGCTATTTTGCACTTAACCTCTAGTCCCAAAACATTCCCTGGCATAATAGGCAAAAGTACAAGAACTCCAATGGTATAAATGTAATTGTTGTAACCACTAAACATGTTATTTAAAAAAAAACTATTAAGAAATAGAAAATGAATGCCGTTACTAAGAAAATTTATAGTATACACTTTTATTTACTATTCTGTTTGCTGTAAAGCTGTTATATAGCATTTTTTAGGAGGCTTGCTGTGATTTTGACATTTCGATAACAATCCTTGTAACTTGTGTACTGCCAGTTGTTGTAACCCTAGTTCTACCCTTGTCATTCTTTTTAACAGTTAAAAACTGGAAAATTAACATTTTCAGCCAAGTGTGGGTCTCAAAATTAGTTGACAGCCGTATGGCATATTTGTTTCCATCATCAGATGGCATAGAGTTGTACCATTTCATTATCCTAAAATAATGATATCAATGCAACCTTTGACCTCTCTAAATCTTTAAATCTGATCAGTAACACTGGTCAAAATATCTGACCAGCAGTGACATTGGAACTCAGTTTTTAAGTATCCCAATGTTATTCACATGGAAACTATGTTTCTCACAAGGCCTGCTGGTATGTGTAGGGTTGCATTAGCAGCAAGAGGGAGGGGGAAGGGGGTGTTGTCGCAACAGTAGTGAATGGGTCAGGCAACATACTATTCTATATACCTGGTTGAGGCTCAACATATTCTTGAGGTGAAGGCTCAACAGCTGCAGCAGGTTTAGTCTCAACTTTTTGCTCATAAGCTTTATGTTCTATCTCAGCAACGGGTGCCTCTTCAACACGACTAATCTCCCTGTCTACAGGAGGCACTATTTCTACCTCTTGTTTGGGAGGCTGAGGAGGAGCTTGAATATGAACTGGTGTGGGTTCTGGAGCTTTCTGTGTTTCTACCTCAACAGTCGGACCATTACTAAGGAAATGAAAATATTTAGCAATGCATAAGAAAATAGATACAGGGTTAGAAAGAACATATATTTCTTCTTGCTGGATTTTTAGTTTAATTCATCATTGTTAACACCCGAAACAAATTATTTACACGTGTCATATGATTTCTGCACTTACAATATAAAGTGAGGTCGAACAATTTTAAAGCTACCAAGATTTTATTAATGAAAACAAGTTCATATGGTCAAATAAGGGAAGCATTTGAAATGTCATTTCCAATAATGTTTGAGTGAGCTCTCTTAGGCTTGTATGTCCGATTACCATTGATTGCACCCATGAGTGTGTTCAGTTAAAAATTATCACAAAATGGATTTTCAGCTCAAATTGGCATGCAATGATTTTTAACAAACCTCAAAGGCACCTGGTCATAGTATGGTGAGGAAACTTCTGGGCTTGGAGGTTCTTGATCTTGACCATTCTCTATGACCTCTTCTCTAGGGTCTGTAACAAACCCTAAAAATTTTAAGAAATGTTTTAAAAAATACTGAAACTAAATTATGGATTAGCTATGATTAAGAGACAGACTTTATTCACTAAAATAACTTGGAAGCTCCAACTCATTAAGTCACTTACTGTCAGCTTCCTCCACTTCCCCTTCTTCATCATGGAAAACTTCATCTTGGTATCGAAAGATGTCATTATGCACATAAAACTTTTTGGGGGTCTGTGGTACCAAAACAAATGTCTGCATAAATCTCCTCATTGGTTCGCCATTATTGCTGAGTTCCCCAGTGACTTGCACAACAACTGAATCTTCTACAGTAGCCTGAGCATCAACCTGACGGATCTTGGCATGGCAGTCATTGAAGTTCAGTGAAACAATTTTTTTGTGGATCGCCTAAACAGGTAAAAATTATAAAAATCACTTGTTTTACAAACGACGCTTTATATATAATTCAATGATTCATGTAATAACTGCAAGTTGATGCACATTGTTATAGAACAGATCAAGCCTATACAAGTAACAAGAATACTTCAGTTTGAGCAAATTAAAACTTTTAAAAAGAGTCTGTACAGTACTCACCTCTTGACCTATTACAGGTGGCTGCTCATTACCAGCTTTCTCAACTCCTCCATGCACAAATGCAGAGTTATTGCTGTAAAACCTAGGACCATTTTTAAAAAAATTAGAAAATGTGCAATATGGTCAACAAATACTGTTTTTATGACAATATTTAATTTTTCAGATTAATATCAAAATTACTGTACGATGCTTCAAGTTTAATTAACTGAATAAGTAATTTGAGGCAATATGATTCACAAAATTCAACAAATAACATCTACAGGGCGTTGAATAAGTAGTGCTAAAATTTGCCACACATCAATAGAATCAAATTACTTGTTCTGAATCATATTTCAGGGGAATAAGTATGGTGGTATGCATATGAGTGGGTCACAGAAGATTTTAACTGTTTCTCCAGGTACACCAATTCAAATATAGAAAAGTTATTAACTCAAGTCAAGATATGTGCATAATTGGGTCCCACATTTTGAGGCTGCAGTGATTGGCTGTGCTTAAAGAGTTTACAAGTATGTACATGGTATAATGAATAATTGTATATCACAGGAGTCCTAGACTAATGTTCGCTCTTCAAGATTGATATACAATACCATCTGCAATTAACTTATTTGATTAATTTTCTTTATTAAATAAAATGTTTTCATCTCAAATAGAATTTTTACCACCTAACATAAATCAAAGATACTGGTTATCAGATTGAGGAATCTGGTTTAAAAATGGATTTTTACAGTGTGAGATTTCATTTCATTTTTATAAGATCTACTAGCAGTTAAAATTTAATTTTAGTATGGCCAAAACAACTCATTTTCATACATTTTGGCCTACATGTGACCTATATTTAACGAGTTGACTGTGATATACACTAGTGGAAACTTGTTAATCGATATTATAACAGAATAGACTGCAAAGACAAAAAATACTTCTGTCCAAGCGACAGTCATCTATTTCTGGAAATTTTCATAATGGTTAGGAAGTACACATGAAGGGAGTACCTGTCTTCTACATTATAAGTTAATAAGTCATCAACTTCTACAATTTTTTTTTTTAAATGGATTTAAAACATTGTCATTGATGATTAGGGCTGTATTTCCGTACACTAGCATATTTTTTTTACATTTGAATTACGAGCAACTACACACTTTTAAGGCTTGACTCAGCCAAAACTCTGGTTATGAATGAACTGGCGTTAGAGCTAGTAAATATTGTAGGTGGATCGATAATTTATATATTAAATATGTGTTCAATTTATTTGGAAAAGTGAAGAAGATCTCAAGAGGATTAGCAAGACCAGGAAAACTTTTTCCATGACTGTCACCTGACTCAAAATGTCTATATAAATGGTATCAGTGTTGATGTACCTGTGAAGATGAAGAGGTGCTTCATGCAGCATAGTGTAATATTGCCGAACAAATTCCCGGCCAACTTCCTGGGGTCCAGGAGTTTCCATTACCATTGTTCTGAGAAATAAAATATTTATGTTTAAGATTAACAACACTATGTGAGCATACGGACCTGCTTACCCTCGAACTCTTAAAATCTTACAATATCGTACATTAAAGTATCTTAACAGTAAATAAATTAACATTCATTATACATAAATATACATGATGTATACAATAACTACTAGCATCACATATATAGTGGGATCGTGTTAAGCTGGTGTCAAAAAAGGTAACGGTAGGTAAAAAGTAGATGACTGAAATTGCTGCAAACTGTGGTCAATTTGTTTTGCAGACGTGTATGTGCTATACTTATCAATTAATATAAAGGAGAATGTGCAGACCCCATTTTCACAGCCTGTAACTTGTAAAATAATTCACTGTGGTTCAAACTCCACCAGATCAGCATAAAATAAAATTTTTAAAAAATCAACTAATTCACGAACTATGGCATTTTAAAATAATCTACCAAATATATTTTTTTAGGAAAAGCTGCTTTAATTTTTTTTAAAAAGGATCAATATAAATTATGCCTATTCCTCGTTTACTTATTAAAGTTTGATAAAATACCACAAGCTGTGATAGGAAGAGGGTGTATTAAAACTCATACAGCTGTTTTTAAAATAAATTTCAAAGCTACCTTCAGTTCCTATAAAACATTTAAAAAAGGGGGCTGGGTTTGGTACCTCCCCAGTCCCTAGAAGATCATTCCAAATGTAATTTAAGCAGTAGGCTCTCTTTTGTTAACCAAGTTTTAACATACGGGTATTTTGATTTTCAACTAATCAAAAGACAGCACTCCCCCCCCCCCCAACGGTTGTTGGGTCGTGGGGTATCAGCAAGGATGTGTTTCTTTTTTCCTTTCTTTTGAACGTTGAATTTTAATACAAAATAATAATTTAAGCAGTAGGCTCTCTTTTGTTAACCAAGTTTTAACATACGGGTATTTTGATTTTCAACTAATCAAAAGACCGCACTCCCCCCCCCCCCAACGGTTGTTGGGTCGTGGGGTATCAGCAAGGATGTGTTTCTTTTTTCCTTTCTTTTGAACGTTGAATTTTAATACAAAATAATGGAACATTTCATTATAATATACTTCATATCAACCATATTGTTTAAGATGCGAGTAATGCTCAATAAAGAACAGGAATGTTATCAAACACATCTTTCGGGTCTTACAAATAGAATGTCTATTCACCTGAAGTCCAGCACTGTTGGAATTCCCCAAAGCGCTTAGGGTGAGACAACTCTTGGAAAGACCCCTTAGCGCTTAGGGTGAGACAACTCTTGGAAAGACCCCTTTCCAATTTCAAAAAGAATTATGTGACTACAAACATCGAAATCTTTTTAGTACGTTGCTGTAGACGGAGGTTGACCTGGGGAACCTCTGTGATGTGGCCTATATTAATGGAACACATCGCCGGTCTAAACGCTAACCCAAAATCAACCCCCAGATGCTGTTCATTTCTCAATTTCATAATTTATTTTAAAGGGACATTTCAAGAGAAAAATTTAAAAATAATTGGGGAAAAAAAACCTATTAAATACAGCTAAATTTTGAAATGTTTTGAAAAAATGAAACTATGGCCTGTACTTGACCAGGGAAACCTCCATTAACTATATTTGGTGGAAGACATCGCGGGCCCTGCTTCTAAATATAGTTTTTGCCTTTACTTATATTGTTTTTATCGTTTGTTCGCCGAAGAAGGCTTCTTTCCGACACATCCGTTGTTTAATCAGTGTTTAAGGTTTTCCCATACTTTGTTTAGCTGCATGAAAATGAATGAATTGTAACAATGAATATTAAATAAAAATAAACTCTGTTTGACTGTGACTTCAAATCAGATAAAAAAAATAACAATTGGTCTATTTTGTTCAATGTCCATGTCCCATGTGGATAAGACAGTGGCAGCTTTGAAAGCTTGATTGTGGATGGTGACTATGGTAATCATTTTTTTTTATTATTATTTTAGCTACACAAGACAGGCAAACCAGTTAGGGCCTGCAAGGTGAACAATGAATTAACCGGTGGACCAGAACAAAAAAAGTTGCCAACAAAGGCGTTTTTGAGGGGATAAATGATAAAAATCAAACTGAAGTGAATTACAAGCAATCATTTAACAAAACGGCAAGCATGGTGTAGAAAGTTAACTAAAATTCGTTTACGGCTGAACATTTCCATTATAAATATTAATAAAGTTTGTTTAGTCCCAAAAATAGTCGGAACACATTGTAAACAGCCATGGTGGACTTGGCGAGAACTGGTTGCCAAAAGATAGTAAATTAGTCATCTCTAAATTAAAAAGATATTATACTCTTACTATATCTATTACCGCCAAAAATAAGCTAGTTAATATTTTTTTACATGTACAATCGTGTATTGCTAATGTTTATCATTTAGAGTGCACTAATACTTACAAAAATAAGGAATTTCTCTCCTAAAAATGTTATCCCGTACACATGGGATGGTGCGCAGATACGGTCTAGCGAAACAACGATCTGCGCACTTGGGACTCTCGTGAACTACGTGATGAAGGCCCCATTTCTCTCTGAACATGTATTACGATGTAAATTGCTTACTTTAGGAATTTCATACTTAGTGAAAATTAAATTTAACAGATAATATTGGCACTTTAATTAAAAATAATCTTGTATTATGTCATAAAATGAGACCCATTCAATAATTTATAACAGTAAATTGATTTGTTAATAATTTGTATTTATGCAAGAAACGGGCCGTATCCGGTAAAAATTTATAATAATGTATTGTAATTATTTATTAATTAATATTACAGTTTATATTTTAAATAAAAATCTTAAAATATAATAATATAAAAATATATTAAAATTAATTAAGCATTATATTCATTTTGTTAATGAGATAATAAAAGAAGCGCATGCGCGAACTCCTTAACAACAGAATCGTTATTCATCCGTCTTGAATTCAGCGGCATCAATTCCACACAAAAAAACATTCATAGTTTTAGCTAGGTCCTGAGTGATGAGGGCAGGGTTTAGTACTCAAGTTAAGGAATAGATATTTAACCTTATACTTTCCAAACATTATTTATGTTACAATAATCATATTTAAAAGAAAAGAATGGCAATGAATATGCATATGGAGGCGCGCCGCCGCCAAATGTTCATGGAGAGGGTTTGTGAAGCAAGAAGACGAATGGCTCTTGCCCAACAACAAGACAATCAGGTGAAACATAAGTATAAGTTTATACTATAAGAGACAGTGAACTGAAAATATTTTTTTTTTAAAGATTAGAATATTAATTATTTATGACTTGTACTTGTGACAAAAATATAGAACGCTGCTCGCAACCCACGCCCACAGACACAGAGATGACAAATTATATGGGCAATTATTTTTTTATTATGAATTATTATTATGGCTCTTTCATTTATCATTTAACCCCTTTTTTTTATAAAGTAAAAAGGCTTAAAAATTACTTCTATAAATAAATACTGTGAGTGGGAATACAATTTATGCATTGGCTACATTTAAAGTGGATATTATTAACAAAGTAAAGGATTATCAAACTGCGTTAACTTTACCACAGTCAACAGCTGTAATCTGGACCTTATTTTAAAAAGCAGCTGACATCAGTGATGAGCTTTGTAAATATATTTTGTTTAAAGTCTTGTAATAACTAATGAAACTACATGAATTTCCTTGTCTAGGACAAATGTTAGGGAGAATGCTTGTCCTTATCCTTATGAGTATAAGCCTTATGGTTTGGATATTCAATCTCAAGCCTTAACGATGTTTTGCCTCTTTTTATTTGTTTTATGCAAGATGTTTTATAATTAGTTTATTATATTTCTCTATATTCAGTTGTTAAAGTTATAATTTAGTAATCCAGCGTAAAAATATACAATTATTACTATTTATTATTGTATAGGCATATTAATTTATAAATACATTAACATTGGGCCTTGGGTTCTTAGCCCTTTTGCTGTGCGCCAACCTGTTAGGATTTCAAAATATTTCCCAGACCCTCATCTTGAATTCAAACATATTTCTCACACCCCATGAATTATAATATGCTTTTTAAACAATGAAAATAACCTGATTTTTTTCATGCATCCCCAGAGGGTACTGGCACTTCTGGTTAAAAATCCTGGCATTGCTTTAGGCCTGTTCTGTGCAGAGTATTAATGTTTTAACTATTAACCTTAACAAGATTGCCAGCCTTTAAACAATGTGCCCTGCCTATATGGATCCAAAACAGAACATATGACTTCCTGGCTATCATATGAAAAATGTTTAAATTTTGCCATTCATAATATATGTTTATCTCTTACTCTTAAAATTGTTAAAAATCATTTTCCATTGCATAATAATCTGATTTTGTCTTATTGCTCTTTTTAAAATTAATTTATCTTATTAAATTTATGAAAATGTACATTCTAGGGAGGAACTTCAAGCAGCTTTTCTTCACAATCCGACCCTATGGTTTGCCAGGAACAAAGAATGTCTAATCAGACTAGGTGATTACAGATTTCTAATAATAGTATTAATAGTGATATAAACAATACTTTATTTATCTAAAATATACATTTGATTTTCCACAGAAGTTATATAAATAGTAAACATTTTTTTGTAATGAAAATAACATATTTATCAAGCAGTTGATGGAGAAAATGAAAGTTAATGTCATTTTCAGATTAAGTTAAACTATGGTAATTAATAAATATGATTTGTGTGTTTTAAAATACGGTAACTCTGCAAATATTTCATAATTCATTAGGGCATGCATGACTTCAAGGTGAGAAGATGTTAAAATTTTTTGGGGTTTGAGATTTTTAATATTACTGATACTTTCCATAATGGTGTTTCTTTTCTGAAATCATTTTTGTTTTGTAATTTTTGTTAGCTTTGAGTTACTGCTATTTATGTTTTTTTTTTTTTGTATTTGGAAAGTTTCAGTTTGTAGAAAGACTCAACAATTGTGGGTTTTTGAGAAGGTGGCTTATGATCAAAATTTGAAATTTTACTCAGCTATAAATTAGTAACGTACAAAAAATTATTTAGCTTTACTTGCTGCATATATAATTGTCAAAACCATTTAAACATTTGATAATTTTGTAGCTGCTATAAAATTTCTGTTTAGTGTGATGTAGTTAAAAGGTATGAACAGTCTTGGTATTCCGGTTCCGTTCTTTAAGTTTAAGTAGAGGTGAAAGTTGAAAAAAGCTTGGTCTTCAACACTCAAATGTAGTGAAATGTGATTTACAGTTTGTTATGACGACTCATTTGCATTAACATTCCAAATAAAGTTGAGAGGTTAACCGGACCGCCCCCCTACTGAACATGTTACATTAATAGTAGTGAGTGAGAAAAAAAAAAGCTGTCACATAGCAAGCGTCATCGTGGCGGTTGAACTCAGGTAAAAAGGTTGAATCGTTTCTTTAGTGGGAGGCGACTATTATATTAATCAATAAAGAACCACTGGGTGTGGTGTAAGGCTGCCTGTAAGCCTATTGTTTAAAGGTTGGCAGGTAGGGTTTTGGAATGTTGTTAGGTTGTTTAAAGACCGGCAGGTAGGGTGTAGGACTGTCTGTAATCATATTTTTTAAAGGTCTGCAGGTAGGCTGTAGGGCTGTCTGTGGGCCTATTTCTCAAAATAGCCGGACCTGTTGTGACAAAATTTTACCCGGTTAAGCTATACTTATATAAGTATAATAATATAAAAATATAATAATATAAGTATAATAATATAATAATTATAATATATATATGGATATAAAAGATGAGCTACAGTGACATACCGCCAAAGAGCCTATACGATTTAAGTACATTCGGATTCCTAAAAACAATCATAGTTATTTTCTATTATTTTACGGAAATCGAATAAATTTAAATGCATAAAAAATATTTTAAATCCACTTTAATTTGATTAAAAGTTAAGTTATATTATTATAAATTACAAATACATTTAAAGTATCAACTGAGGAACTATTTTAAGCATTTTATATGTGTTTGAACGTTATGAAAAAGTAAAAAAATCATGATCAAAGAATTACACCGTAATCACATTTATCGGGAAAACCCAAGTATCAGTCGTTTTTAGTGCGTTGTTATTATTGCGAAATAAAATTAAAACTAATTTGTTCTAAGTTATCAGCAAATGAAGTCATAGTGCAAATAGCCTGTTTCGCCAAAACTCTTAGGTTTCTTTAAATTTAATAACCGCGCGTGACAAAACTGATAATGTATTTTCCCTTCTTAAAAGTAAAATTAATAAATACAATTGATTGCTTTTTAAATTGTTAATAAAACACACACACATTTTTACTTTGTATATTTATATTTTGTACATTTAAAAAGTTTTGCGTTTTTTTTTAATTCCAAAAATATACTTTAATTAAATTTATAACGTAATAAAATTTAACCTTTAAATATAATCCTAATAAGAAAATGCGGTTTAAGTCCATAAGTGCAGCGCAACTCCATAGCTAAATAGCATTTGCTAATCCACTTATACCTCATTAAAATAAGAAAGAACCATATGAAGTGCAAAATATGTTAGTTTGGGTATGGAACGGACTACAATCCGGTGAAAGATTTTATAAATTTATTTAAATCTGGGTGGAGGAGAGGTTGGTCACTTTGCCCCATGCAGTACAAGATACGTCTCAAAATAAAGGAATGAATTTGATAAATAATTTAACCTTTTTGGGTACATTCATATCGGAGGTAGGAAATAGGATGTGTACATTTTTACATGTATGACAATATATTTAAATCCTATGGTATTACATTTTTGAAAAAAGAGATGCTACATTCTCTTTTTACAAATATGGGTATGTTCAATTTGTCCAAGGCAGCACAAGATACGTCTCAAAATAAAGTAATGATTTTGATAAATAATTAACCTTCTTGGGTACATACAAATCGGAGGTAGGAAATAGGATGTGTAAATTTTTACTTGGATAACAATAATAATATATTAAATCCTATGGTATTACATTTGTGAAAAAAGAGGTGTTGCATTCTATTTTTAAAAATATTTGTACGTTCATTTTGCACAAGGCAGCACATGATAAATGAATGAATTTGATAATTAATTAATTTTCTTGGGTAAATACATGCCGGAGGTAAAAATAAGATGTGTAATTTCTTACGTTGATGACAACAGAGTTAACTCCTATGGTATTACATTTGTGAAAAAAGAGATGCTACATTCTCTTTTTACAAATATGGGTATGTTCATTTTGCCCAAGGCAATACAAGATATGTCCCAAAATAAAGGAATTAATTTGATTTATAATTAACCTTCTTGGGTACATACATATTGGAGATAGGAAAAAGGATTTGTACATTTTTAAGTGAATGACAAATATTTAAATCCTATGGTATTACATTTGTGAAAAAAGAGATGTTAAATTCTCTTTTTACAAATAACATATGTTTACCAATTAAGAAAATCAATGGCGTTAACAAATCTGGGATAAATTTATGTAAGTATATCCATAAATATCAAAAACCAATCATTTAACATACTTGAAAATCAAATTTTGACAAATGAAGATGGGTTAATATTTTCTTTTTTTTTTTTTAATGAAAATATATTTTTGTAGTTACTTTGCAAAGCGTAAAGAGCTGTTATTTTTATGAGACTAACAATTTAATTTTTTTTAAAGACAATCAAATCTTTTATAGGCGTGAAAAAAAGTTGCGAGATTCTTCTTATTTAAAATAATTCTTTGTTTTACGATTTTCTGATAATGTATAATTTTTTTAAAAATGCAAAAATATGTTTAAATTTTTGATGAAAATATCAATTTGTATCAAATTCCTGTAATACAAAAATATATCTATATCATTTATAGAGTTTTTGTTTTAAATTTAAGATTAGGTTTTTTAAAAATTTTGAGAGAAAAAAGTTGTAATTCAAGGGCACGAAAAGGGGTAAATCTAAAGTATTTCTCTTGCGTAGAAATTGTCCCTCAATTAACTTCTTTGGTGACAAAAGTGATATAATTAGTGATAATTTAGACTGGGTAATTTAAGGTCATGTTAAGAGGGGGGAAAGGTCGTTAAGGAGCGTGAAAGGGTGTAGGGTACGCGTATCATATTCATATATAGCAGATATATTTAATTCTCAAATTTTAATGATGTTAGAAACGTAAATATCATTACATTTTAAAAGTTATGAATTGGGATAAGTTTTTGCAATAGCAGTTAGAAATTATCGCAAAGGATCTACCATTATTATCCTGATAACATTGGGTCATTTACTCTAGTAAATGTGCTAGGCTTACCATAACACTAAATAAACAAAGCAATTTAAATAAGTTTGGCTTTCTTAAAAACAATTCTATTATTTTACGGAAATCGAATAAATTTAATGTGCAAAAATTAAATAAATCTTGTTTTATTTTAGTATATGTTTAAGTATTGTTATTAAAAATTACTATGTGTAAAATAACAATTAAAGAATATTTTTAAAACATTTTATCTAAATTTGAACGTAATATATTTTTTTATCAATAAATTATGATCTAACAATTATTTTCATTTGATCATAATCATTTATCGAGAAAGCCCAAACATCTGTTCGTTTTGAGTGCGATAGTAATATTGCAAAGTTTCATTAAAATTAATTTGAACTAAATTTTTTCAAACAATAACAAATTAAATTTTTTGATTGAGCTCAAATAAGGAAAAATTATATTAATTTCAAAAGATTTAAACTTGCAAAGAAAAAGCTTTAAGTTTCTTTGATTTAATACTTGTGTGTGACAAAACTGACAATGTATTTTCCACTTTTTCCCCAAGTGAAATTAATAAATATAATTCATTGCTTTTTTAATAGTTAATAAAACACACCAAATTTTAGCTTTGTATTTTTACCATTTAACAAGTTTTACTTATTTTTCATTCCAATAATATATCTTTATCAAATTTATAAAGTAATAATAACTTAACTTTTAAAAAGAAATTTTAACAAGAAAATACCAGCGAAATTTCTTGCCAAATAGCACTCACTAAATCACTTATCACTCATCCAAACGAGAACAATTATATGAAGTTACAATTGGTTTATTTTGATATCAATATTTCAAAACCTAATTGTGTGACATATTTTAATGTTAGTATAATCTTTAATGTTAAACTAAATAACCATATTTCAATATACCATACAAAATTATGTGGAGAAATATATACATTTTTATTAGAAAATATAAAGCATTGTGTGGTAAAAGGGATCTGGGACTTAAGAATTTTAAATTACGCTAAGTTTAGAGACATGCAAAAAGATGTGGTAGCGTACCAATGGAGCTACCATCTAGTGGATGATTTTATTTTTTTTTTTTTAATTAAAAACTGGGTGGGGGTTTGTTTTGAATAAAAACTTTTATTTTGCCCCAGGTGGCACAAGATAAACCTCAGAATAATGGAATGAATTGGATAAATAATTAACCTTGTAAGGAACATATATCGAGGGTAGGAAATAAGGATGTGTAAATTTTTATGTGGAATACAATATATTTAGAGCCAATAATATTACAGTCATTTAAAAAGAGATGCTACATTTACAAATAAATATATGTTTACCAATTACGAAAATATATTTCAATGGCATTGACAAAACGTGGGTACATTTATATAAGTATTGCCATACCTAAAATAGCAATATCAAAATCCAATAATTTTTAAAAACACTCAAAGCTGTTACAAGTGATTAAGAGTTTCTTCTTTACATAAAAGCATTCTTTGTTTTGCGATTTTACTATTAAAAATAAAGGTAGAAATGTTTAAATTTTTGATGAAGATAATATATAATATATAAAATTCTGTTGTTGTAAAATATATTTAAAATGGTATATAGATTTTTTCGTTGTAAATTAAGGGTGATGTTTTACAATTTTAAGAGAAAAAAATGTAGTTCAAGGGCGCAATTAAGATGTAGGGTAGGCAAATATTATATAGCAGATAAATATTTTTCAAATCAAAATGGAATTTTGTTAAGTAATTACAGTAGTAGGTAGAATTTTTTTTTTTTAAAGTAATTCTTAATCATTTTTCTATCAACTTTATTTAATCAATTTGTTTATAAATTATATATATATTTTTTGTGACATATTTAGTATTTAAACAAAGATATGGTGGTTGCCAAGACTTCAATTTTTAGATAAAGGGCATATTAGGTTATTTTCTAGCTGTTAGTTTGGTAGATTGCAAACGGCAGTGGTGCAATGCATTGCATGTTTTCCTGTTTATAAAAGTGTAAGTTTGTACACAAAGATTAATTTGATAAAAATTTTATGTGCATTTAAATCACTTGTGCATCATGCTCTGCCTTAATTATATAGATAGAAGATGATGTGAATTAAAACGATGCATATTTATTTATTTATTTGGTGTGGGTGGAGATAGAAAGTTGCTTTAGTAGATAAAATTTAATGAAGTTTGTGATTAAGGGCCTCTTGGCTGTGCCCATGGTCATAAGTAGGATATGACTGAATAATTACATGTACGCATCACCATAAGTGTTAGGGGTGTGGGCCAGCTGGAGATTGCTTAGGACAATTTTACACATTTAATCACCTTTTTCAGATGATACAAAGCTTCATTTTTTTTACCAAATTATGCAATTTTATAACAAACTCTCTCTGAAAGTCTCTGTATATGAATTTCTTGGAAACTATGTTATTATATTCTATCATACACCCAGTTATAATTTATTTAACTTATTTTCAATCCATTAAACCCAAATAGTAGCTTGGTGAAAAAAAAAAATTTCGACATTAAATTACAATACTTATAACAACCGGTATACAATTTTAAAAGCACACAAATATTTTTCATAAAAATAATAAGTAGTGATTGATAAATAATTAGTATCAGCCAATTTTTATATGTGCAAGTACGTCCTTGTTTTAAGTCAATAAACAAGATTTAATTAAGATTTATCAAAGACTTTTTAAGCAAATTTTACATGAATGATTATATTTATTAACCATTTTGAATACAATAAAGCCGCAAAATACAAATTGAAAAGAAAAATGAACCAAACCTATACTATAAAAAAAACTTAAGACATTGATACACACTAATGCATGTATGTGTTGGATCATTGTACGATTTTAATTAATTAAAATTTTGAATTTAAGAAAAGTAAAAATACATAAAGCTTTCAAACCTAAATAAAATCACAATTTTCGTGAGAAACATTTATGAGGTACAATAAGTCACCCACACAATAAACAAGATTTAATTAAGATTTATCAAAGATTTTTTTTTTTTTTTTTTTTTTAAATTTTATATGTTGAGGAGGAAAACAAAAGATTTATTTTTGAAAAGCTGGATAATCCAAAAAAATTTTTATCCAAAAGTGCTGTAGGAAAATTTTTTTTTTTTTTTTTTTTGTTTTTTGAATTTTTTTTTTAAATTTTTTTTTTTTTTTTTTTTTTTAAATGTTATATGTTGAGGAGGACAACAAAAGCTTTATTTTTGGAAAGCTGGATAATCCCAAAGAATTTTTATCCAAAAGTGCTGTAGGAAAATTTGTTTGTGATTTTATTCAGAGTGACATTGTCTCCAGTAGATCGAAGTACAGAGAGCCACAAGCATAGACTACACTCGATACCACATTGTGACAAGGCTTATGCTGTTCTATACCCTGGTTCTGAAAACTTAGATTACACCTTGCTTGATGCACGCAAGAATCGCAGAGAAAATAGTTATATTGATAGCTATGAAAAATATAAAAAAGTGAATGGGAACTTTCATTTTGAAGCTTTTCAAGCATCTAAAGTTAATGACTGCTAAAACTATATTCGGCTTGTTAGAATGCAAGTATTTTTTTGTCCATTTAGTTGATCTGTGCATCAAGTGCCCCACGCCCATATGCACTGATAGAGCTGTATTGATAGATGTAATTGATGTTTAATCCGCCATGACTTTGTTCTTTAATCCAGGGTTAGAAAATTAAAATCAACTTAAGATGAAGGTCCATGTAGCAGTTTTTACCTTTTTTCTTATTCAGTTTGAGCAAATTCGTCATAGGTTCTAATGAAAATTGTAATGTGACGGTGATATATTTTTAAGTGGAGAAGGCCTCCTTAAAATCTCTAGTCTTATTCTTGTTCCCAGGCAAGATATGGAACAAGAGGATGAAAATGTGGAGTCCTATCCTTTAAGACAAACCTATCGCCCAAAGAAGACAAACTTACCAATGCCTCCCAAACCTAAACCCTGCCCATCATCACTGGAAGGTGTTAAGAGAGACCATGTCTATAAGATACTTCATCCCTATTCAGAATACTGAAGTTTTTTTCCCAAAACCTGTCTTAGCCTTTTAATAAAACTGAATTGTCTGCCTCTTTTGACTTTAAAAAATTCAAACATATTTCTTACCTGCTTTATGCTGCTGAATTAAAGTGCATTGAAAACAATTGATTTTTTAAAATTCTGATATCATTTTATGGGCTGAAACTTATTTGAAGTTTTATTCCTTTTTGGAGTCAAGGTACTTTTCCTTTCAAAGCCATATTGTTATTGAATCAGTATTATTATACAAATTTTCAATTTCATTTTAAATTGTTTGAACAGTATTTGAACATTTAATCTTTTTACACAACTTTTTTTTTTAAAAACAAAGCATTGTAAAGATTAGATTTATTGTTTCATTATTCTTATTGATAATGATATTGTAATTATTGCGAAATATGAATTACTTGTAAATAATTTGTTGCTGGTTTTTTTAATGTTAAAAAACTGTATTTGGTAGAATTGAGTGCCCTAACTATTGAGGTTACAATTTTTTTGTTACCTTTCTTTTATTCTGCAGGTTTTGGGTTCTTTTTTTTTTTTTTTTTTTTTTTTTTTTTTTTTTTTTTTTTTTTTTTTTTTTTTTTTTTTTTTTTTTTTTTTTTTTTTTTTTTTTTTTTTGTTTGTTTTTTTGTTTCACTACTGAATGAACTTTGAAATCAAATTGTTTCAGATAATAATTTTAAAAATAAATATGTGTGTTGGTAATATTGAATACCGGTAAACTTTTTATGTAGTAAATATTTAATTAATGGTAACATTGTTTTCTAGTATGTTGATATTGCTCTAGTATGGTCCCATTGTTCTAGTATGTTGCTATTGCTCATTCCAGACAAGTTTTTAACTCAAGCACACAGAGATACCACAGGCATTGCAACCATCTCAACCAGCCAGATGGCCACATGTATCCAATTATGAACTATTTGATAAAAAATAATCAGCCTACAGATAAGGTTTTGCCCCCTCGAAAACCCCATTTTAAAGTTTAGGTTGATATGATGGTTTTATATGGGTAATGTAGCTTTTCATGCAAAATGAATGCAGCCTTTTTTTTTAAATTAATTTTATATTTATATACATTAAAAATTTTGATCAATCTATTTTGTCACAAAGAATTTTATTTAAATTTTAAACAAATTAATTTGTATTACAATAGTAGTAAGAGCACATAAATGATTGCTGTTTATAACGTTAGGAATTCTGACCTTTTTGGCATAATTAAGTGTTTTTTAAATTTATTTTTAAATACCTGTAGCTGATGTATATGACTAAGTACCACAAACTGATTTTTCAAAACAGTCTTACAGCTTTTTTTAATGCTGTCATGTCAAGAACTCGTGATTCTAAGAACTTGGATACCAAACTTGTTTATATAACTCAATAAATAAAAGAAGTTATGAATTTTTAAATTTTAGTATTTTCAAATTTTTTTTGTCACCATTAAAAGTGCCATTTTCGTAAGGCTATATCCTTAAAAGTAAATAACTTAAACTCACTCACTTACACTCAACACATACCCACATATATACAGTACTGATTCAATTTTTTTCAAAGGTAAAAAATAATTCATTCATTAAATTGTATTGTGATAAAAATGTTTTTTCCTCACATACATAAGAATAGTTACAATGTTAATTTTAGAGTCAAATTGGCATTAAAAGTCATTATTATTAAAGCGAAAATGATAAGCCAGTGTCGCAGTAGTAAAACAAAACTCAGTGAAAAAATGTTACACTAATTGTGCAGATAGGAGAAATGTATCTTCACTGGTTGCACAATTCATTCCAATGTTGGGGAAATTGTATCAAGTACTTATAGATGTGATAGCTTGATGACTGAAAAAAATCAGCTGCTGGAGTCCAGTCAAGGCATATCCAAAATGTATATCTTAAAACTCATTTTCATTGACACAATGCAATTATACATGAAGTACACTTCCAAACTTGTGTCATTTCACTGTCTTAACTGCCATGCCAGTCCTCAACATGCAGAACTAATCTGGCTAAAACTCATCCTAGTTAGCTGTCAAAGTGTCCAAAATAATTGCACTATACTCAGTTTATTTTAAAGATTTGTCTTTTCAAGCTGAACCATTGGATATTTTATGAAGGTTTTAAGTAGTTTTAAGGTTAAAATGTCATGAAAATATAATGGTATTTGTATAGAAATTAGCCTATATTCTATTATTGTTGGAAAAATTAATTGTATAATCAGAAAGTAAACCCCTGTATGGATTGTCTTTCTTATGAAGCTTTCTTTAACTTCTTATGGTTACTTGTTAATTGTATTTTTAATTGTATCTAGATCAGTATTGTTATTTTTATGCTGCTATTTGTTCTGTAGGAGTGTTCATGTTTGGTTACCACAAGAAAGAATGAGGAGAGATTATGATCACAGCCGGGAAGGCCCAATTCATGGTCAGTCGTGGCGTAAACTTGAGCAGGAATTAAGGTTCCGGGAAAACTGTCTAAGCTCAAGTGCCTATCCATGCCCAGTGTTTGATTTGTAGTTGAATCCCAACCAGGAGTTAAAACAATTTCCATCAGCTTCATAGTTGACTGGCCTAAAGCCAAAGAAGTTAATTGTTCTAGTTCTATTACTATTTAGTAGCAATGAAAATACCTAAAGACATCAGACATTCTTCATTCAAACATTAAACAAAATACAAATTTAACAGAAAATAATTGAAATGAACATCAGGAAAATGTTCAGTAAAATAAATATTGATTGTATCATATTGTGTTTACATACAGCAATATAAGTATAAGAGATTTTAAGTTTAAGCTCATACCTATGTAACTGTAACAGTATTAATATTCTTATACATTTATATTCTTATTTGACTCATGTTTTGAAATTAAGTCTTTCGTTGAACTAGATTTTAAATGTGATAACCAGGAGTATCTTTGTTTTTTTGGGGGGTTTTCCTTCTAATTTTTTAGAGATAATAGAAGTTTTGACTCCATAATTTATTAGTAGCAGTACAGAGCTATAACAATTGAAATGATTTGGTCTTGGAAGTTTTGAGTCCATTTATTAGTAGCAGTACAGAGCTACAACAATTGAAATAATTTGCTCTTGGCTCTTAATATATTTATGAGGGGTTTACATTTTTTTTAATGATTTTAATGTTATTTTTTCACATGCCTGGAAATTGGAAAACAATAAATAGTAAACATCACATGACTTTTTTTTTTTTTAATGCTAGTATTAGTAAGTGTAAGTCATAATGTGTTGTACAGTAGGACGTGAATATATGGGTTTTTTTTTTTTTTTAATTTATGGTATTTTTTTACAAAATAATTGTTTT